AGCCTTATGGAGTTGCTAATTGAAGACACCTGTCTGTCTGATTGGTGGGACAGGTGTGCGCGTGTGTCCACTGGTGCGTTGTGCGGTGAGGTGTCTGGAAAGTCCGGAGGATTTGGAGGTGTAGCTGATCCCCCCCAGAGACCTCACTGTCCTCTTCTTCATGGTACTGTACAATCAAGATGTGTACCAGACAGATTGGTTATAAACCCTAAATCACAGAATTAAATACAACACTATTTATTTACGCTATGTATTATAAATATAAACAACACAACACTGAACAATACATTAATTGCACTATAAAGATGACAAACGGTGCCCACAAACTGTTAGGGCCTAAAGCTGTCCCAACAGCAGAGCATTCTTTTCAGCACCATGGAGTGAATCCTTACCACCTCTACACCTGGCTATCAGCAGAGCCTTGTCTGGCAGCGAAACAGTTCATTCAGCCTCATTTACTGCCTTTAAAAAAAAAGACTGATATGGATGACTTGCTTAAACAAATGTGGCTTCTACTGACAATTGAGATGTACAAACTATGGCATAAGGGAACGATGCGCGGATAAGAGGCAATCAGTAATTTCGATTAAGACATTAATGAGCGAGCTAAAACGGACGAAGTCAATATAACTATTTGTTCAGCACTTTTGAAATGTACAGCGACAGAATTCAGAACACGGGCCGTTCATACAGTATTCTTCCTGTACACCAAGTCAGAACCGTAGGATAAATAAAGGGGGCATATAAGCAGACAATGAAAGCTCTTACAATATTCAATGATTACATTTCTCTAAAACAGGCTATAGGCTACATGTGCACCACCAAGTCAGAACAGTAGGCTAAGTTATGAGGGGGAAAAGGACCACATTATTAGGGTGAGGCACAGGGCTACTAACAGCTTACTACACAGCATACACTTAGTATTACTTTCTTAGCTACAGTATACATATCTCCCTTGCATATTACATCATTTATGCAGCAGCATAAAATACATTTTTGGACCCACCATTGTGCTGTGTTCACTTGAACAGGAGGCTGGCGCGGCGGTCCTTCTTGTGGGCAAATTTGTCATTAAACTTTGTTTTCAAAGTCTGGCATTCTCTGGACTTATGGTGCGTTCAAGACAACTGGGAAGTCATGCTCTTGATGTCAATGATCTTCAGGTCGGAGCTCTAGAAAGCTCTAGAAAGAGGCCAGAGTTCCCGACTTGGAATTCAGAGTTGGACAATAATACATTTTCTTTATTTTTTTAAACTATTTTCTACATTGTTGAATAATAGTGAAGACATCAAAACTATGAAATAACACATATGGAATCATGTAGTAACCAAAAATGTGTTAAACAAATGAAAATATATTTTTATATTTGAGATTCTTCAAATAGCCACCCTTTGCCTTGATGACAGCTTTGCACACTCTTGGCATTCTCTCAACCAGCTTCATGAGATAGTCACCTGGAATGCATTTCAATTAACAGGTATGCCTTGTTAAAAGTTAATTTGTGGAATTTCTTTCCTTCTTAATGCGTTTGAGCCAATCAGTTGTGTTGTGACAAGGTAGGGGGGGGGGGGGGGGGGGGGGTATACAGAGGATAGCCCTATTTGGTAAAAGTCCATATTATGGCAAGAACAGCTCAAATAAGCAAAGAGAAACAACAGTCCATCATTACTTTAAGACATGAAGGTCAGTCAATACAGAACATTTCAAGAACTTTGAGAAGTTTATTCAAGTGCAGTCGCAAAAACCATCAAGCGCTATGATGAAACTGGCTCTCGAGGACCATCACAGGAATGGAAAACCCAGAGTTACCTCTGCTGCAGATGATAAGTTCCATCCTCAGAAATTGCAGCCCAAATAAATGCTTCACAGAGTTCAAGTAACAGACACATCTCAACATCAACTGTTCAGAGGGGACTGTGTGAATCAGGCCTTCATTGCTGCAAAGAAACCACTACTAAAGGACACCAATAATAAGAAGAGACCTGCTTGGGCCAAGAAACACAAGCAATGGACATTAGACCGGTGGAAATGTGTCCTTTGGTCTGGAGTCCAAATTTGAGATTTTTGTCTTTGTCTGTGTGAGACGCGGTGTGGGTGAACGGATGATCTCTGCATGTGTATTTCCCATCGTAAAGCATGGAGGAGGAGGTATTATGGTGTGGGGGTGCTTTGCTGGTGACACTGTCTGTGATTTATTTAGAATTCAAGGCACACTTAACAAGCATGGCTACCACAGCATTCTGCAGCGATACGCCATCCCATCTGGTTTGGGCTATGTGGGACTATCATTTGTTTTTCAACAGGACAATGACCCAACACACCTCCAGGCTGTGTAAGGGCTATTTTACCAAGAAGGAGAGTGATGGAGTGCTGCATCAGATGTCCTGGCCTCCACAATCCCCAGACCTCAATCAAATTGAGATGATTTGGGATGAGTCGGACCGCAGAGTGAAGGAAAAGCAGCCAACAAGTGCTCCGCATATGTGGGAACTCCTTCAAGACTGTTGGAAAAGCATTCCAGGTGAAGATGGTTGAGAGAATGCCAAGAGTGTGCAAAGCTGTCATCAAGGCAAAGGGTGGCTATTTGAAGAATCTCAAATATAAAATATATTTTGATTTGTTTAACACTTTTTTTGTTTACTACATGATCCCATATGTGTTATTTCATAGTTGTGTTGTCTTCACTATTATTCTACAATGTAAAAAATAGTAAAAGTAAAGAAAAACCATTGAATGAGTAGGTGTGTCCAAACTTTTGACTGGTACTGTATATATATTTTTTTATAATAAACAAAAACATAGACAAAAACTTAAAATGTACATAGATTTCCACAAACATTAATGACATCCCACATGTTCCCACCATATCCACACCCAATGTTGTTTCTAGTGCTTGTAAGACTCTGCCCCATATGGCTTCAAAATTGTGTTATGTTGTTTCTGTCTGTAGCCAGATTATTTTTTCAATATTTAAATTTGAAATCATTTAATTCTGACATTCTCTTATCGTTATAGAGTATCCTTTGACTTCCAGTATTTAAGTAATAGCTTCTTCAATATACACTGAGTGTACAAAACAGGAACACCAGCTCTTTCCATGGCATACACTGACCAGGTGAAAGCTATGATCCCATATTGATGTCAATTGTTAAATCCACTTAATTCAGTGTAGATGAAGGGCAGGAGACAGGTTAAATGATTTTTAAGCCTTGAGACATAGATTATGTATGTGTGCCATTCAGAGGGTGAATGGGAAAGACAAAATATTTATAAGTGCCTTTATACAGGGTTTGGTAGTAGGTGCCAGGCGCACCGGTTTGAGTGTGTCAAGAACTGCAACGCTGCTGGGTTTTTTCACGTTCAACAGTTTCCCGTGTGTATCAAGAATGTCCACCACCCAAAGGCCATCCAGCCAACTTGACACAACTGTGGGAAGCATTGGAGTCAACATGGGCCAGCATCCCAGTGGAACGCTTTTGACACCTTGTAGAGTCCATGCCCCGACAAATTGAGGCTGTTCTGAGGGCAAAAGAGGGTGCAACTCAATATTAAAGGTGTTCCTAATGTTTTTTACACTCAGTGTAAGCGATAAAAATAATATTGACCAACCCATTGGGTTTCTCACCGCACCCACATATGCTATGTCTTGAAATATGCAGAGACAGATTTAAAAGTAAACTTGCATTGCAAAACTTCTGACAGCCAGCTTTCTAACTCTGCCAATAACTTTAGGACTTTATAGCACTCCCAGAAGGCATGAATTATTGAGTTAGTTTACACTTAAGACATGACTCTGCCGTTGTGCTGTAGAATTTGTGAATTTTGTCTCTTGTATAATACATTCTACACAGTAGTTTATACTCGTTATGTTCCAACACTCCATCTTGTGCCAATATCAGTTATTTTTGTCATACTAACTCCCGCTCCCTCTCTCCAGCGCTCGATGTCGCCGGTCTACTAACCACCGGCCCTGGCATTAACAATTATTACGCACACCTGCTCCCCATCATTACGCACACCTGGACTTCATCATCACCTTGATTACCTTCCCTTTATTTAGCCCTCAGTAGCCTCAGTCATCAGGCAGTATTGGTTTGTTTTCATGTTCAGTACGCATCCCGTTTTGTTCATTTGCCTTGCATCATTGTTATTAAACTCTCCTTCTGCACCTGCTTCCTGACTCCTTGCGTATACGTGACACTTTTTAAGCAAGTCTTGGTTCCAATAATTTCATTTTTTCGGCCACATTATTTGAGGATAAATATTTAAATTATAAATACACATATATTTGAACCCAGGTGTGTTTCCTATATCTCTACACTTGATAAATGACCACTCAAATCACCACAATAACAAAAAAAGCTTTTTTTATTTGACTTATTCACCTTTATTCATGTCAGTTCATTTCAGAAGGATATGGGAGGCATCCGATTACACAAAAACACTATCAGTACTGATTGATAGACAGACAGACATACATACTCCCTCAGCATAGGTATGGAACAACAGACAGGGAAGACTGATGGTTTAGGCAATTAATGTTTGTGTGTGTTAGTGCTGAGCGATTAACTGAAATGTTGTTTTTTAATATATATTTTTTTTTTTTGTGAGCCCAACAAGCCATTTCTCTGGAGAGAAATCAAGTCAAGAACTATGTGGGACGCTGGGCTGAAGGGTGTTGTCATTTTCATTAAGCAAATATTCAACATAGTTTAGTGCAGAAACTGAGTACATTGTGCTGAACAGGCAACCCTGCCACACATAAGATGGCGCCCTAAACTCTTTCTTTTGCCGTGCTTCACAAGTAAACGGGATTCGGGGAAACAACATTTGCACTCTACAGTTCCGCATTGTGATTATTACGCAGTCATCTACAGCCAATACGAGATCGATGGACTAACTGGAGCATGTTTGTGTAATTGAAACTAGCTGTCATAAAGCAGAAATTACTAAGATGCCGTTTAGCCCAGTTAGAGTGATGACCAGGTTGTGAGTTAGTGATGGAGAACATTGAGACGCCATTTCGGATCACCCATACCGTCCAAGCTCTGGGCTCCGCTCTTCGGGGAGATCCTGAAAATGTTCCCGATGCTAATGGTCTGGGTAGCGGGGACAGAATCTCGAGTGAGCCAGAGAAGCTTTGGTTCAAAGAAAGCAGCGCTAAGAATCTCCGAAACAGGGACTTCTTGTCACCCACCACGGTGCTGAATACGCTTTATGCAGACGGACAGGTCGGTCTGTTAACGTTAGATTAACAGTTAGCTAACTAGCTTACTTCTTCTTATTTCATTCTCGTATAACCCCATTGTATTTTGCCTTTGAATTGTTTGCAGTTGGTGCACTGCTTGTAACGCATTGGTTGACAGACAGACACACACAGTTGACAGCACGCGCTTTTCTCTTTGATATGTTCAACTCTCGAGAGATATGTGGAGGCTAATTTTACCCCAAACTGTCATCAACAACTTCCACTTTATGATTGTGAACGAAATTGAATACATACATTTTCATATTTGAGACTTGACATTGCCATCATCGACATAACATTTAAACCTTGGGGCAATAATTATTAACCCCTGACTAGCAAATACAATGTGGGTCACACAGCAAAATGTGCCACCGTGTTTCCACATGACATGGGTCTCGTTTTTGAATGGCATCTGTCAATACAACACCACACAGTCCTGCAGGAGGCAAATTAAGCCTATACCATTGCAGGCAGAAGGCTACTACTGCAATAGTCTTTGACTGTGTGATTGATAGTGCATATGTCTTTGCATGTTAGAAAACTGTCTGAATGCATGGACAGTATGTAAGTGCGATGTGTTTGTGTGTAGGTTCCCCCAGCAGTGATGGGTAGAGTGCAGTCCCTGAGAGGGACAGGGGTTCTTCCTGTGGCTGGGGGGGAACTCATGGGAGAGGGGCTGAGGGTGCGGGTCGACCGGACTGCTGCGTTTCAGAAGGTCCTGAGTGGAGCGTCAGTGTACCTGAAGCCTCCTAGCCAGAGACAGGGGTGTGTGGTGCTCAACTGCCCCGCCCTGCACCCCAAACCCAATTTACCGTCCCCTGACACCCTCACGTTGGGGCAACTACGCACTGTGCTGCTGACTGACCACTTAGGGGCACTACTGAGGAGACAGGGGTGAGTTAGGAGATGGCTTAATTACTAGTCTGGCATAATGTCATTGTCCAGTATGTATGTATCTGCTGTGTTGTGTATGTTCAGTGCACATAAATATGTGTTAGACTGTGTAGTCAGTGTCAGTTGCATCACTGTTTCTCTCAGGTTTACTGTGTCCTGCTGCCCTGTGCTACCAGAGGAAAGTGACATCATTGTCTTCCTCCGATTGCTTGGCATCGATTGGCCCACAGTGCCCATCAGCTGGACCAATGATGAGAGGGAGGAGAAAATGTTGGAGGCTTTACAGAATTCCCCATACAGAGAAAAAGAGGAGACAGATGGAGGAAGAAGAGTGAGTGAAGGAAAGAATATGGATGAAGATAAAGAGGGGATGCTCAGGGTGAACTTGAAGAGGGTGTTTCAGAAGGAGCAGCTGCCAGGGGATGACCCCAGCCTGGGCACCTGTACAGGTGAGACAAACAACATTGACCTTTGACCTGGGGATTGGTTGTAAATGTGTTAACATATGAATAACACATACAGTGCATCCGGAAAGTATTCAGACCCCTTTACTTTTTCCACATTTTGTTACGTTACAGCCTTATTCTAAAGAGGATTACATTATTTTTTCCCCCTCAATCTACACACAATACCCCATAATGACAAAGCAAAAACATTTTTTTATTTTATTATTTGCAAATGTATTAAAAATAAATAACTGAAATATCACATTTACATAAGTATTCAGACCCTTTACTCAGTACTTTGTTGAAGCACCTTTGGCAGCGATTACAGCCTCGAAGCTTCTTGGGTATGTTGCTACAAGCTTGGCACACCTGTATTTGGGGAGTTACTCCCATTCTTCTCTGCAGATCCTCTCAAGCTCTGTCAGGTTGGATGGAGAGTGTCGCTGCACAGCTATTTTCAGGTCTTTCCAGAGATGTTCGATCAGGTTCAAGTCCGGGCTTCTGGCTGGGCCACTCAAGGACATTCAGAGACTTGTCCCAAAGCCACTCCTGCATTGTCTTGGCTGTGTGCTTAGGGTTGTTGTCCTGTTGGAAGGTGAACCTTCGCCCCAGTCTGAGGTCCTGAGCGCTCTAGAGCAGGTTTTCATCAATGATCTCTCTGTACTTTGCTCCGTTCATCTTTCCCTCGATCCTGACTAGTCTCCCAGTCCCTGCCGCTGAAAAACATCCCGACAAAATGATGTTGCCACCACCATGCTTCACCTTAGGGATGGTGTCAGGTTTCCTCCAGATGTGACACTTGGCATTCAGACCAAAGAGTTCAATCTTGGAGTGCTGCAGAGATGGTTGTCCTTCTGGAAGGTTCTCCCATCTCCACAGAGGAACTGTGGAGCTCTGTCAGTGACCATCAGGTTCTTGGTCACCTCCCAGACCAAGGCCCTACACGCGATTGCTCAGTTTAAGGTGGGCGGCCAGCTCTAGGAAGAGTCTTGGTGGTTCCAAACGTCTTCCATTTAAGAATGATTGAGGCCACTTTGTTCTTGGGGACCTTCAATGCTGCATACATGATTTGGTACCCTTCCACAGATCTGTGCTTCGACACAATCCTGTCTCAGAGCTCTATGGACATTTCCTTCGACCTCATGGCTTGGTTTTTGCTCTGACGTGCACTGTCAACTGTGGGACCTTATATAGACAGGTGTGTGCCTTTCCAAATCATGTCCAATCAATTGAATTTACCACAAGTGGACTCAAATGAAGTTATAGAAATATCTCAAGGATGATCAATGGAAACAGGATGCACCTGAGCTCAATTTCGAGTCTCATAGCAAAGGGTCTGAATACTTATGTAAATAAGGTATTTCTTTATTTTGATTTGTTGTTTTTTGGAAAGTTTCTACAAACCTGTTTTCACTTTGGATTATTGGCTATTGTGTGTAGATTGATGAGGGGGGGAAATAATTTCATCAATTTTAGAATAAGGCTGTAAAGTAACAAAATGTGGAAAAAGGGAAGGTGTCAATATACTTTCCGAATACATTGGCAAATGGTAAGGTCAAATTGGTCAATAAAATTGATTTCTTTCACAAGGAGCTAGGCCTATAGGACACCTTTTTAGATATGAAACTTACTGTAATGTAGTTTAGGTAAATAAAACCTACAAAGATTAACAGTTTATAGGAACTGTCTGTAACACACAATCCTGTTGATTTGTCCTCAGTGCAAATGGACAGTGTGTCTCATCTGGCCCAACTGGACAGGGCTACTGCAGGCTGCACTGTGAGTCACATTTTCTTCCCCAAAAACTTTAAACATCAAGCTACAGCCGTGTACTACTATAGCTACTATGTTGTTTTGTTCATACAGTACTAAACAGTATAGGGTCTCATGTTTGTTATCACATCTCTTATTGACCTAGGTATCCACGGCAACCGCAGTACATGTCACTTCCTGTCAGGATGAGTTCCGTCAGCAGCAGATAGCAATGCTGTGGAGAGCCAGCGGTGCAACAGTGACACAGGTTTGTTTGACACAACAATGCATTAACTACCACATAGTGACGATCTGTACCTCCCCATACTAACCAGTAGAGGCGCACCAATATTTATTTTTGCTGACCAATTTAAGTACGAAGTACTTACTCTTGAGGATCAGCCGATGCCTACCTACCGAGTAAAACTATAACAACATCTGATGGTATTGACAATATTGCTTTATGTTGCTCCAAATTTACTCAGATTTTTATCCAAAAACAGTTTATAAACCTATCCTGGCTGCAACCACATATGAGCAGTGTTAGAATTCGTTACTTGTAAAATATTACATATTACTCGTTACTTTCAATCAAGGTAACGCGTTACATTACAATACTACTTTCTGTGCAAAGTAATGCGCTATGTTACTCCTTATATTGCAAACACCATCCAATTCCGCTTGCCAACAAGGCATGTTGGTCACCAATTTAATAATGTAGAGGATACATTATTAAATTGAAGGATTTTTAAGCCTTGAAACATGGATTGTGTATGTGTGCCATTCAGAGGGACCATGGGCAAGACAAAAGATTTAAGTTCCTTTGAACGGGGTTTGTGTCAAGAACTGCAACGCTGCTGGGTTTTTCAAGCTCAACAGTTTCCCGTGTATATCAAGAATGGTTCACCACCCAAAGGACATTCAGCCAACTTGACACAACTGTGGGAAGCATTGGAGTCAACATGGGACAGCATCCCTGTGGAATGCTTTAGACACCTTGTAGAGTCCATGCCCCGACAAATTGAGGATGTTCTGAGGGCAAAATGGGTGATGCAACTGAATATTAGGAAGGTGTTCTTAATGTTTTGTACACTCAGGATACTCTATATAGTAAGAATATAACAGAATACAATTGAAATATAATATATTTTTCCCAAACATACTTTTGTCTTGCGAATGCTCACTTGAGAAATGGATGGACCTGCATGTGACTCTGTGGGAGGATTTTCAGGAAGTTGCTTTTTGGTAAAAATACAAAATAAGCGTGTGCTCTGTTTTCCCTGCCTCTGTGTCAATTCCACGCTGTGTTGTTCATCATCAGTCTCTTCATTCACAATTTGACAATAATGCATACAAATATTGTCAGATACAGACAGAACAAGGCCACCTCTTAATATGAAGATTTGAATAATTCCAATTGAATAATTCCAAGCAGAATGAAAATAAAGTGTGATCAGGCCTCACTGTGACAACAGCTTGTATCCTTCTAAAACACTTGTGAAATATTTGTTGTTCTTATCAAAGCAGTGATAATAAATGAAATTTCCATCATGGAAAACATTTTTTCAAACCTTTCTGAAATGGCCTTAGTCACTCATTTTGTGGGACAGAGTCTCCGTGGATTACTCTCCACGCAGCCAGAGACTGGCTGCATTTCAAACACATAAAAGACACACCCTCCTCCACTTACCCTCGCCTTATGCCCTTGGGGGAATCCAGGCGGCCATCTTTGCCGTCGGTCGAAACGATTAGCCAAGCAAGGGAAGTTGGCAACGTAAGCCCCTCGAGTTTGTGATCGAGTTTGCGATTCTGTTCACTCCGGGGCCTGAAACGCCCCATAATTCAATTTGCGATGATTGTACATCCACTAAGAAAACTCAGCCAAAACGTTAAACCAACATCAGTATGGAGAAGTCAACATACAAGTGTAAGTAAACGAATGTAAATAAGTTAGAAATTGTGCTACTAATGCACATGACGGCACAAACACGTATCGTAAAAGTAATTATGTTTTTGTTTGGTTAGCTTTTGGAAACGTTAGCTAGCGCATACAACTTTCCCTGATATCACACTTATACATTGTAATTTTAGATTTACCTGATATCGTTGGATGACTTGCATTCGATGATGCGGATGCGTTGTCTTCTAGCCAAGATATGAAATGCAATCATAATTGACTGTAGCGCATATAAAGCACACACAACAGCTACCGGTGGTTCCATGATGACTGAAACAACCGTGGGACGAACGAGTGACACATTTCCGGGCAAAGGCGGTCCATTTAAAATTCCTTCATTCTTCCCTTGCCCTGCAAGTGTCAACTCATCATACCTCATGATATGTCATCAGAAGTGTTTACTTAGTTTGAGGGCTGAGGGGAGAGGGTGTGTCTTTTACGTGTTTGGAATGCAGACAGTATCGCACTTGCAAAAATACTGATTGGCTAGTGAAACGCACCCTCTGACCTCTGATTGGACCAGCAAACTGTCAATCAACACCGGTCGGGTGAGCTAGCGCAGTGAAAAGGTTTTGGGGGGTAGCGAGTGTGAAACTGAATGGGGAAAAATAGTTGTCTACATATTTTAATAGTCTACATATAGCCTACCATTTGTATTTTATATGTATACCTTTTGCTTATTCGATCTGGTCACTAACATAGGTCTACGGCATTGCACAACATTTTTGTTTTAAAAAATCTAATTTGTTCTTCAGAAAAAAAGGTTGCACGTCTTGACTTGACTGTTGACCAATGACCAGTCATCAGAATTGGTGAGCAAAAGCAGGCACACATACAGTTTAGTGACCAGAAATTGCTTGTTGAATTTCCTTCTGTTTTGCCTGGCAAAAATAAACAGAGTAGCCCACTTACCTTAATATTGTCAATAGGGTGAATTCAGAAAAGTGGGACATTATATAAACTGGGACAGCTTAATCCTGAGACGTTTAATTCTTGATCTGAGAAGAGAAAATCAAACCTGTTGTTACTAAGCCCTTGCGGAGAAAACACATGATAAAAGTCTCATCACTTCATTGGTGTAACATTATAGAGGGGGCAGAGCAACCTTCAAACAGGAAGCTCACCCCTCGAAGCACACAGATGCTACGGTTATAAAACGGTCATAAATAATGCACTGTGCCAAATTGTGCAAAATGTTTGAATTCCAGTTCAAAATGTGCCTGCTCTGTCGCAGTCTACCATTGAAAACCATTGAAGACTACACGTGTAAATGTCATGCCATTTGTATTTGAGCAATATGATTGGCAGTTCATTCAAGCAACACCATGGTCCCGCGGGTCACCACTTCTTGAGCAGTACATGAGTCATATCCTATCGGGCCAGTGACTGACGAGAGCCACGTTTTTACTGGCCCCTGCGGGCCATCATTAATATCGGACACTGCACGCGAAAGATAATAAATGAATGTGCCAGAAAACAATAGGCTAGGTGGATTTCGACTCATCGTTACCACATTATATGGGACGTGCAAATGAATGCGCTCGGTGTAAAAATTTGACTACAACTACAGCTCACACAACACACACACCCAGGTACTGAGAGGCGGGACAGACGGTAGACTGTCAAACCAGCAGTGTTTCCCTGTCATCGCTCACTTTGTGACTGACAGGTGCCTGTCCTGTCAATAGATTGCTAGAAGATGCATATTGTTCATTCTAGCGGGAGAGGGCTCGGCAGACCTTTTTCTGACTAGCGAATTGAAAAGTAGCCTAGTTAACTTAAAGGTGCTACACAGGATTTATTTTTTATTTTTGCATTGTAATTTCAGAAAATGTCCATAATTTATCTGACATTAATAGTGGAATGATAGTGTTTCACAGTATTACTTACAGTGTTGTGATTGGCTGTGATATTCTCCTATTGATTTCTCCCACCTGAGCGGCATCTGTTGTAAAACTGGGAAAGCTGTTTTTGACTTTGTGGCTGGGTTATCTAGTGGAAATCGCTCTGTCATTTCTACGCTGTTTGCTCAATTTCAGTTTGTTAGAAAACAAGCACTGAATAGTGTAGGGAATCATTGTACCATCAAAAAACAAAAACAAAATACCCAGCTGAAAATGACTCAGTAAACGGCGCTAGTGGAAAACACTGACTATAGCCTGTTCAATAGTTCTTGTAGTGCTGTTATGAATACTGTTATTTGAGTGAATTCAGAAAAAGTGGGACACTTTTTTGCATTTCCGTCTTCTATAACCTCGTCAGACATGTATCCAACATATTAGCCCAAAACATGATACATTTCTGAAATCCTCAGATGTTTCCTAATCACACAAAATTGAATTGAATTGTCATTGGGGTACAATTAGGACTATAATAATGGTGTCCTAGTTTATCTAACCTGCTGTCCCAGTCCACCAAATGCAAACTGAAAATATGGTTTTGACTCAGTGTACAGATGGGTGTGTCATGCATCCTGTCAATATGATATTAACATTTGTGGTTAGGAAACATCTTGAAGATTTCAGAAATATATCATGTTGGGCTAATGCAAAAAGTGTCCCACTTAATCCGAATTCACCCTAGTGTTTAGCAATCTGCTAAGTAAGCATCTTTGCTACAACAATAGGCTACCTGGTGATTTCATTGATCAATTTCATATTTCAGATAGGTCTAGTTTGGGTGGGTTATATACCTCAGTGGTGGTACTGGTTATGTCAAAGATAGTTGTAACATCGCACTACCTTCAATACTTATGGGATGAAGATGTAACATATTCTGGCGAATTAATTAGGACATTTGTGAGGAAGAAAAAGGCTACAGAGACAGATCATGCTTTCCATCCAATCTTGCAACCTAGGCATCATACAGGTAGAGCTAGGGAATAGCAACTCCAGTCCTCAGGGGCCTATTGGTATCACACTTTTGCCCCAGCTAAAACACCTGACTCCAATAATCAACTAATCATGATCTTTAGTTTAGAATGCAATTAGTTTAATCAGCTGTGTTTGCTAGGGATGGGGGAAAAGTGACATCACTACGAACATATGATCCTGCTTGCTCTAGACTCCAGAGAAGTGACATTATATCCCTAGTTGATATTGACTGCTAACATGAATGACTTGCAGGTGTAAAACAGTTTATTTCTGTATCTTGCGTTTTGAAAATACATCACAGTTTGACTGTAATGACAGGCTACATTTGCGCAGCAACTGTGCGTGCGTTTTCGTCCTGTGCGCATGCGCAGGGATCGCAAGCTTTGAACCACTTATTTTTGGGGGTCACTGGTGAAAATTTGAAAACCACTCAGCTAGTGAACAGATAGCTGATTTGCTGTACAGCTATAGGAACGGGTGCAGCGCAAACACCAAATTGTAGGGAGAGAGGATTGCCATAAATGATTATGCAGTGCCAAACATTGTTTGGTGATCAAGAATATTAACCGTTTTACTTTGCAAGCTCACCAGCAATGGGGCATCAAGGAACACTTACTAGCATAGGCCTACTGGTCTTTTGGTATGTCAAAATTGCTTGAAATGTATAATTGACTTATGAAGTTTGCATTTGGAATTTGTTGTTAATATCTTATTACATAATCAAAATCTGTTGTAGACAAAATATTGAAAAGGGTCTGGTAGCCTCAATAAATGATTTGAGACAACTTATGACTACTGGACTGGACTTGACTTGCTCTTAGAATGCACGACTTGGACTTGACTCGACAGGTTCTACTTGGGACTCGACTTGAGACTTGGACCTTGTGACTTGAGACTTGCTTGTGACTCGAATGATAGTGACTTGGTCACACCTCTGGCCTGGACTATAGTCTACAATGCACATTTACTTGCAGCCTTGAAATGAAATAAAACGTCAAATAGATAATAACATTAGAAGACTGGCATAACCACTATGAATTTACTTACTGTGACATCGTTTCAGAACATAATATGGCCCATCTTTTCAGTTATGCTACTTTGAGCAATCCATTTATTTAACAGGAAAAGGAGTTTCAGCATGAATTCGGTAGAGACAAGGCTTTTAAAAATATGATACACTGGTTGATTTATGATTCTGAAAGTAACGCACTTATTACCTCTTAAATGTAAAGTCCCCATGTTTGGGGACCCCGTTAGATTTTCTTATTCAGTCTGGTATGAGAATGGTAGCCCCTATCTGCAAAAGCAGGGTGTCTGCGGAAAGCTGAGTATCTTGGCTATTGATCTGTGCCTTCAAATCTTTGGTATGTTTTCTACCATATATGGGCATACGAATGTATAAGGGCAGGCCGAGGCAATTACCTCATTTCAAGATGGCTGTTACCTACATTCCGGTTAGCGTTGTGAAGCATAAACGAAATAAACACGGAATACGTGTATACACACCGAAAGCCAGGACTCCACAGATCATGAGGATGTCTTATTTGTCTGCGTGTGACCTACCGTTATTGATCACCAGCCCCGAGAGTCGAAATATTTATTTTACACAATGTTTTCACCAAACAGCAAACATCTTACAGTGACTATATCTTTGCGCATCAAAAATAGGACGTTGCCTGCTTACGTAGGCGTCCATTACACAGGGGATTGGCTACTATGGCACCTTGTCAGTCTTGTAACCAATGAGTAAGCTTTCCAGGGATATGCAGTTGACCTGGGTGGGACAAAGCAAGGCCTAGAACCTTTTATGTGTAACGCAAACTATTGCTACCTGGCTCAGAGACTCACCGAGCACACTACATTACATTGTAAACAGATTTCATCGCTTTAGCATAAAAGATGGCTTCTCAAGGGGGGAAAAAACTGTAAAAACTAAGAATATCGAACAGGAAGCTAAAAAGAAGTCGGCTATGAATAAGTATACCGACATAGAAGCTTTGAGTAAAATACTGGTGGACTCGGATCAGGGGAGCGATTTGGACAACGAGTATTTCGACTCGCCAACGAAGATTGCTTTCTAGAAGGATAGGAGCCTGATTATTATTTGACCATGCTTGTCACTTATGAACATTTTTGAACATCTTGGCATGGTTCTGTTATAATCTCCACCCGGCACAGCCAGAAGAGGACTGGCCACCCCTCATAGCCTGGTTCCTCTCTAGGTTTCTTCCTAGGTTTTGCCTTTCTAGGGAGTTTTTCCTAGCCACCGTGCTTCTACACCTGCATTACTAGCTGTTTGGGGTTTTAGGCTGGGTTTCTGTACAGCACTTCGAGATATTAGCTGATGTAAGAAGGGCTATATAAAATAAAATTGATTGAAATTGATTGATTGAGCCACTTTTAGGTCTGTAAGTACATTATTTACATGACTTTATATAGCTAATTTACTATATGTATTTCGTTTTTTATAAGTTGTCTGCTTTTTGTGCTTTGGATTTATTTTACATAGGCCTATGAAACAAGTAATTTCAATGTTATTTAATTCCAAAGTAGTTATTGTCTATGATTCCTATTAGTTTGCTGTTCTAAGTTTCATCCTTGTGACTTTTGAGAGGCCACTAAACTCTCATGGCCATTGTTTATTTGTGGTTCTTACCTCTGCCTTTGTCTCCAAAGTGTTACTGTTTGCATTGTGTGTGTGCTTCACACCCATGTGAGTCACTGTACAGATAAAGTTTAGGCTTGGTGTTTTTACTTTACAGTAATGTGTTTTAGTAAATGTGTGTGTCTTAGTAAAGGATGCAGCGGATTTGGATGATGACATTTGGGAGCCACCCCTCCCCAGCAAGCGCCCCCGCCGGTCAAGGTCTTCACCCCCCACTGCTATGTCAATCACCCCGTCTGATGGTTCTACATCCACTTTTCATAGCCCTCTTGAAAAATAAAATCGGGGCTTGTGGCACCATTCGTCCTAAAATAATTGGTTTCCCCAAGACCAAGGTAAACGACATGACAGCAGAGAGGGGGACCATACATTGGATCAGGACTAACAAGCTGCTTTTTGTGAAATGGAAGGACACTAGGGAAGTAACCATGCTCACCACACAGCATAAGGCATTCAATAACAACCACGTCTCAAGGATGGTGAAAAGGGAAGAATGTCCCCAATCCTGTTTCTGTGAAGGACTACAATGCCAGCATAGGGGCTGTCGACCTATCTGATGCTCTGATAGGCTACTACCAGGTCCTCCACAAGACCAGGAAGTGGTATAATACTTTTTTTAAACCACTTTGTGGACAAAGCTACAGTAAATGCTTTTCATTCTCCACAAGCAGTTGGCCTTCCGAGAGCAACTAATGTTGGAAATGGCTGAATTGGGGGTCCAAAGCAACCTCACAACCATCACAAGACCCCCCACTCCAAGTGAGCGCCACTATCCAACACACATGCCAAAAGACAAAAGGAAGAACTGCAAGCATTGCACAAAACACGGGGGGAAAAAGGGGGAAATTCCAGATCTTCTGTCTGAAATGCCAGTTCGTGTCCTGGCAGATAGGGACTGCTTCAAAGACTATCACGACATGCACAAGCTAGGGTGAAAGTGAAATCTAATCATCTACACCTGGGATGTAAAACAAACACGAATGCCATTTGTAAATAGTTCAGCTTATTTATATTTTTGCACCTTTTTTATTGAAGGACACGTGTGTAACCAACTTTGTGTTTGATAAGATATTTTTATGTATATCTGTTGCTTTTATATTGTTTTTGTAAACAGTTCATTTGTATTTGGGACCAATACATTGGATATGCCTAGGCTAAACGTTCAGGCACTTTGGAGAGGTTGAAAAAACACTTGGATATCCCCTGTAAGTCCCCCGACACCACCACAATGTTTGAGAGAGGTTGGTGTTGTAGAAATTTAGTTTTATAGGGAACAGTAACTTTTAGGCACATCCAGTGTGCAAAAACAGCGCAATTACCACATTCTGACACTTTTGGAGAGGTTGAAAGGACACTTGAATGTACCCTGGATACCCCATAACACCACCACAATGTTTGAGTGAGGTTGATATGGTAAAAATGTGTTTTTATTCTGAACAAATAGCATTTAGGGATTGCAAATATTTATAGCACTGTAATTATCTAATTTATAGACATATGCCACTTTGGAGAGGTTTAGGGACATCTGGAAATGTCCCGTGACCACACCTGACACCACTTACTAAAACATCTGCCCATTTCTAGTTGTTAGGTCTATCAATCCCATTTTTTTCCTGATATTGTTCACATGTTATGGAAGCCATCTGCTGTTTCTCCAGCTCTGGGCATCAATAATTCACTTATAGTTTGTCAATGAGTATGACAATGTCAATGAGTATGACAGAGCGATAAGAGTAATCAATGAAAGATTACAAAAAAAATTAAAAAATTAAAAAGGTTATTTTGTCTGTGCTTGATCTTGTGTATTCTGAACTATGAAAGTCCTATCTTCTGGTCATTTCCTCATAATCTTCCAGATGTCGTCTTTCCAAATATACTACATTTTGGCATGTCAGAATCATGTAATTACACATGAATATCAGTTACTTTTGGGTATGTCTATTTAGGCAGAAATCAAAATTTTGCCATTACATTTAAGAGGTTAAAAAAGTACCTGTAATAATAATATTATCCAATTTTAGAAAGTAATGTATTACATTACACCATTACTCATAAAAGTAGCTGATTACGTAACGCGTAATCAGAATCATATCTCTACCGGTGAGTTATATATAAAAAAGCCTTGTCTCTACCGAATTCATGCTGTAACTCGACAGCTCATGTTGTCTTATAAATTGATTGCTCAAAGTAGCCGAACTACTACATTTTACATTTTAGTCATTTAGCAGACGCTCTTATCCAGAGCGACTTACAGTTAGTGAGTGCATACATTTTATTTTAATTTATTTCCATACTGGCCCCCCGTGGGAATCGAACCCACAACCCTGGCGTTGCAAACGCCATGCTCTACCAACTGAGCTACATCCTTTTGTAACGTGTTACCCCCCCCACCCCCACCCCTGCAAATGAGTGATCACATTTTTCCCTCTTTTTCTTACCTCTGTCTGTTTCTTAGAGGCATCTTGTTTGTGGACCAATGAAGACACCTGGAACTCACCTCAGTGCTGCCCAGTATCTTCAGTAAGAACATATTTTAACCTTTTGATTTATCTTTAGTCCCAGTAACTAAGTCTATCACTGTACTCCGCTGTTTGCTCTGTAGTCTTTTCAGATCTCTAATGTAGTCTTTTCAGATCTCTGTAGTCTATTCAGATCTCTAATGTAGTCTTTTCAGATCTCATCGAGCCACTGTGTTTGTGTGTGTGTCTGTCTCATTGGCTCCTTGTTCACCTGTCCTACAGACTGAGAAGAGTGCAGATGAAGGAGGCCTCGGAGATTAAGTATGGAGAACAAGTCGAAGGTGAGTCTGCTCAATTTGTCTAAATTCTGTAGCATGTGTGTACTTTTTAATGTGTATGACCAGGGACTGTTGTGGTATGTGATGTCCCTCCTTGGACTTGACACTTCTATTACAACTCCAAATACTGTTTCAGACCAAACTTGGGATGACATCATCAAGGTCATGACCTCAGCCACGGTGAGGTTTGAGATGCTCTCAACAGTCCATACGAGCCCGGTGAGTCTTAGGAGGTGTGTGAGAGAGAGAAAGAGACTGACTCACTTCTTGGAGCTAGTCTGCATGCGCACAGAGATAATCATGTGTGTGTGTTTTTACTGGGGTCCAACACATAACGAAAAAGACATTACAGACAAAATACTTTACAATTGATATACATTTAAAAACATGAACATGTAGTGTGTCTGTGCATCTCAGTTACACATACATGTGAGTACATACACACAACAAGTAGGTCACATGGGGGAGAGGCGTTGTGCCGTGAGGTGTTACTTTAGTTGTTTTCTGAAACCAGTTTTGCTGTTCACTTGCGCTATATAAGATGGAAGGGAGTTCCATGCACTCATGGCTCTGTATAATACTGTATGTTTCCTTGCATTTGTTCTGGACCTGGGGACTGTGAAAATACCTCTGGTGGCATGTCTGTTGGGGTAAGTGTGTGTGTAAGTTGACTGCAAACAATTAGGAATTAATGTTTCTTATAAAAACAAGAAGTGATGCAGTCAGTGTTTCCTCAACTCTTAGCCAAGAGAGACTAGCATGCATAGTATTAATATTAGCCCTCTGATTACAATGAAGAGCAAGACGTGCCGCTCTGTTCTGTGCCAGCTGCAGCTTAACTAGGTCCTTCTTTGCAGCACTTGACCATATGACTGGACAATAATCAAGATAAGATAAAACTAGAGCCTGCAGGACTTGCTTTGTGGAGTGTGGTGTCAAAAAAGCAGAGCATCTCTTTATTACGGACAGACCTCTCCCCATCTTTGTAACCATTTAATCTATACTGAACAAAAACATAAACACAACATCCAACAATTTCAATGATTTTACTGAGTTTCAGTTCATATAAGAAAATCTGTCGATTGAAGTAAATTCATTAGGCCCTAATCTATGGATGTCACATGACTGGGCAGGGGCGCAGCCATGGGCTGGTGTGGTTACACATGTTCTGCGGTTGTGAGGCTGGTTGGGCGTACTGCCAAATTCTCTAAAAAGATGTTGGAGGCGGCTTATGGTAGAGAAATGAACATTCAATTATCTGGCAACAGCTCTGGTGGACATTCCTGCAGTCAGCATGCCAATTGCACACTCCCTCAAAACTTGAGACGTCTGTGGCATTGTGTTGTGTGACAAAACGGCACATTTTAGTGTGGCCTTTTATTGTCCCCAGCACAAGGTGCACCTGTTTAATGATCGTGCTGTTTAATCAGCTTCTTGATATGCCACGCCTGTCTGGTGGATGGATTACTTTGGCAAAGGATAAATGTTCACTAACAGGGATGTAAACAAATTTGTGCACACATTTTTTGAAAAATAAGCTTTTTGTACATGGGATCTTTTATTTCAGCTTATGAAACTTGGGGCCAACACTTTACATGTTGCGTTTATATTTTTGTTCAGTATATACACTACAAGTCAAAAGTTTGGACACACCTACTCATTCAAGGGTTTTTCTTTCTTTTTTTCTTTTTTTTTACATTGTAGAATAATAGTGAAGATATCAAAACTATGAAATAACACATATGGAATCATGTAGTAACCACATTTTTTAAAAACAAATCAAAATATATTTTAAATTTGAGATTCTTCGAAAAGCCACCCTTTGCCTTGATGACAGCTTTGCACACTCTCAGCTTCATGAGGTAGTCACCTGGAATGCATTTCAGTTAACAGGTGTGCCTTCTTAAAAGTTAATTTGTGGAATGTATTTCCTTCTTAATGCGTTTGAGCCAATCAGTTGTGTTGTGACAAGGTAGGGGGGGGGTATACAGAATATAGCCCTATTTGGTAAAATATCAAGTCCATATTATGGCAAGAACAGCTCAAATAAGCAAAGAGAAATGACAGTCCATCATTACTTTAAGACATGGTCAGTCAATCTGGAAAATTTCAAGAACTTTGAAAGTTTCTTCAAGTGCAGTCGCAGAAACCATCAAGCGCTACAATGAAACTGGCTCTCATGAAGACCGCCACAGGAATGGAAGTCCCAGAGTTACCTCTGCTGCAGAGGATAAGTTCATTAGATTTACCAGCCTCAGAAATTGCAGCCCAAATAAATGCTTCACAGAGTTCAAGTAACATCTCAACATCAACTTTTCAGAGGAGACTGTGTGAATCAGGCCTTCATGGTCGAATTACTGCAAAGAAACCACTACTAAAGGACACCAATAAGAAGAAGAAACTTGCTTGGGCCAAGAAACACGAGCAATGGACATTTTTCCTTTTGGTCTGGAGTCCAAATTTGAGATTTTTGGTTCCAACCGCTGTGTCTTTGTGAGATGCGGTGTTGGTGAATGGATGATCTCTGCATGTGTATTTCCCACAGTAAAGCATGGAGGAGGAGGTGTTATGGTGTGGGGGTGGGTGCTTTGCTGGTGACACTGTCTGTGATTTATTTAGAATTCAAGGCACACTTAACCAGCATGGCTACCACAGCATTCTGCAGCGATACGCCATCCCATCTGGTTTGGGCTTAGTGTGACTATCAACAGGACAATGACCCAACACACCTCCCAGGCTGTGTAAGGGCTATTTTACCAAGAAGGAGAGTGATGGAGTGCTGTATCAGATGACCTGGCCTCCACAATCCCCCGACCTCAACCCAATTGAGATGGTTTGGGATGAGTAGGACCGCAGAGTGAAGGAAAAGCAGCCAACAAGTGCTCAGCATATGTGGGAACTCTTTCAAGATTGTTTGAAAAGCATTCCAGGTGAAGTTGGTTGAGAGAATGCCAAGAGTGTGCAAAGCTGTCATCAAGGCAAAGGGTGGCTATTTGAAGAATCTCAAATATAACATATTTTGATTTGTTTAACACTTTTTTGGTTACTACATGATTGTGAGTGTGACGAAATAAAGGCAGGGCATTCTACCTGAGAATTGTAGATCTTGGACGCTGCCTCGTGGGCCTAACCTTATATCCTAATTTGACTTTGGTGCAGGTCATGTTTTTCTTCACATTACCATCTCTGGTAAACACACACTATATCAAATATAATCAACGTTTATTTGTCACATGCACAGGCTACATAAGGTGTAAACGGTACAGTGAAATGGTTACTTGCATAGTGGAGTCTTTTTGTTTAGACATGTAGCTAGCTAGCTAAACAATGAACCATAATCCCAACTCATAACGTTACTACCCTGCATGAATCTACAGGTAGCTAAAGCTAACAAACTAGCTAGGTTCCATGTTAGCTAGCTACTTAACGTTGTGCTACAAATGGCAATGCAAATGGCTCTAAGATACGAATATTATTACTACACAGATCATACACGTAATGTTAGCTAGCGAGCCAGCCAACTAACGTTAGCTAGCTAACTAACAGTACGCTTTAACAATGAAAACAACTTAATGACAAAATTTAGAAATGTATAAGATCTGAAAACGTAGCTAGCGAGACTCTCTTACCCGCATACATGGATGAACACTTCTCTCCCTGTGTCACGGATGCCATGGTTACCCTTAGTTTGAAGATGTCATCCGGAGACAGGAGTTTTATACAACAGCCTTCTGTGTTCTCTTTTTGACTCCCTCTGCATTTGCAATCAAACGCCTGAATTTTCTCCATCTCCGTAGCTATCATACTCTGCTTCCACCGGGCATTCCACTGATTTCAAAATTCTGTCCTCCAGAAAGTGGAGAGCCTTAGCAACACTTGTGCAGTTCTGCATGATATCTTTCAAAAAAGCAGCTTTAGAAAGGATTACCTACACATACTAAGCAGCTCATGTTATAGACAGAAGAGTGCTACATGGCAGACCAATCTGAACTCACCTCTCGGCATGTCCCTGTCTCAAATCTCTGGAAGACTGAAACAGGTTTCCCTCAAGAATTTCCCTGTATTTAGCGGCATCCATTATTCCTTCAATTTTGACCAGTTACCCAGTCCCTGCCGGGATGGTGTTCTCGGGGTGATGAGAGGTGTTGGGTTTGCTCCAGACATAGCATTTTCCTTGATGGCCAAAAAGCTACATTTTAGTCTCATCTGACAAGAGTACCTTCTTCCATATGTTTGGGGAGTCTCCCACATGCCTTTTGGCGAACACCAAACGTGTTTGCTTATTTTTTTCTTTAAGCAATGGCTTTTTTTCTGGCCACTCTTCTGTAAAGCCCAGCTCTGTGGAGTGTACGGCTTAAAGTGGTCCTATGGACAGATACTACAATCTCCGCTGTGGAGCTTTGCAGCTCCTTCAGGGTTATCTTTGGTCTCTTTGTTGGCTCTCTGATTAATGCCCTCCTTCCTGGTCCGTGAGTTTTGGTGGGTGGCCCTCTCTTGGCAGGTTTGTTGTGGTGCCATATTCTTTCCATTTTTTAATAATGGATTTAATGGTACTCTGTGGGATGTTCGAAGTTTCTGATATTTTTTTATAACCCAACCCTGATCTGTACTTCTCCACAACTTTGTCCCTGACCTGTTTGGAGAGCTCCTTGGAGAGCTCCTCAGAACGTGTGTGTGTGTGTGTATATATATATATATATATATATATATATATATATATATAATAGTCCTGTGTCGCTCAGTTGGTAGAGCATAGCGCTTGCAACGCCAGGGTTGTGGGTTCGATTCGCACGGGGGGCCAGTATGAAAAAATTAAATAAAAAAAAATGTATGCACTCACTAACTGTAAGTTGCTCTGGATAAGAGCGTCTGCTAAATGACTAAAATGTAAATGTAAATATATATACTCATGTGTATATAGATCATGTGACAGATCATGTGACACTTAGATTGCACACAGGTGGACTTTATTTAACTAATTATGTGACTTCTGAAGGTAATTGGTTGCACCAGATCTTATTTAGGGGCTTCATAGCAAAGGGGGTGAATACATATGCACGCACCATTTTTCTGTTATTTATTTTTTTGAAGTTATTTTTTTCATTTCACTTCACCAATTTGGACTATTTTGTGTATGTCCATTACATGAAATCCAAATAAAAATCCATTTAAATGACGGATTGTAATGCAACAAAAAAGGAAAAACCCAAAGGGGGATGAATACTTTTGCA